TGCTTCTGTAAATTCCTCGGTACGTTTGCTGCTTCAGATGCTTTAATATTTGAGTTGTGCAAAGCTTCCGCGACCTTTAATCGAAGTACATAAAGAAGACTTCCGATTTCTCCGCCATCGATATAAAACATCCGTTGCTTGTTGCTCTGGCTGAACCACAAGTTGTAGGATTCCAATGCCGCATCCTCTATAATTTGGTGAGAGAGATATCCTGGTGCGCGATAACACTACAATATTATCCAAAGAAAGTATTACACGAATAGACCTTTCTTTGCCCGTTTCACAGTCATGAATCAAAAGTAACTATTGAGCTCAGCAAGGAATCTTGCTTTAGGTTTGGTTAGCTGGAAAGAATAAAACTTCGGTTTTAACCTTACTATCTAGTTCAAACAAACAACTATCCATTCCTTTTGTTTGAACGGTCACGTGATCACTCAATACATTGAGATAGCGCCTTTAGTGGTCCATGTCACCCATGGCCAATCCGTCCCGCAGTGAATGTCTCTCACAAGAATTTTATCCATCCAGCCATCCTCGCAGCCCAACGATCCTGCGTCTGGACTGCTCTTGTAGTCACGTAGCGTTAAAAAAGAAACATCCTTGGTGGAAGGCTGCAGAGACAGCAGAAACCGACGCATTCAACGAATCCAAAGCCGCAGCTATGTTTGCACTCCTGTTCAGCCGTGACAAGCGATTGTTACGAGTCCGCGTTAGTCACAGAGCACAGTGCTCAACGTCAATGAGGTCACCTGCTTCATCAAACTCAGATGACGAGACTGAGGGGGACATGAGCTTGATGAAATTACATGAAGCGTTGCGGGCTCAAAAAGCTAGGCGCCATCTGTGTACTATCCTCAGCAAGGTGAGTGGGCTAGAAGATGTGACTGAATCTGAACTCGCTCTGCACGCCAGTGTAATGGATGATAATATTCTCTGATACAGCGTAAAAATAATCGCTTGGATACCCATTCGAGGTAAACCCCTAGCTGCCGACATGTATCCAAGCAAACCTGGAACCTTGTGATCTGTGGATGGTATAATGAATGGCTTTACTGTTCATCATGCTCCCGATTAGTTGTGCACAATGTGATTATAAAGAACACTGGCTATTCGTCTTTCTTGGGCTTCTGTTATTCTGCGCTGTTTTAAGTCTTCCAGATACTGGATAAAAATATCATAAAATACTACTTTTTATGACGACCAATGATAGCAGCTCAGCGGAGGTAGAGGCCGGATTATTAAGCACTTACACTCCGGCTAGATAGCGTGTGGTAGTACAATCCTGCAATCGGAACGGGTTGTTTACTGTAGTTTTCTTGAAACACTGAAATTCATAGAGCACATTAGAATGTTGTGCTTGAGCCTAAATTTTATTCACATGCTGCATCGTTTATCTAGCGTTTCGCAAATAGTATAGTGTCTGCCTGCAATGTACAAAAATAACAAACAGGCATTCATCAAACTCATAATCATCATCACCATCAGCATGCTTATCAGCATCATAATCATCGCCGGCATCACCAACAGCAGTACATCAGCCATTTGAACTGATCCTTCGCTGCCATGTTTGGTGGCACCCGGTTTCAGATTTGCCTGGCAATGTGGCCAGCCACAGAAAGCCTGCGCCTACAGAGGGAACATGAGTGGCTTGTGCTGTACCACTCACAGCTCCATCCACACACCCCCATATCCAGTGTAAACCCGAAGGAATAAGACCGAGAGACATGCGGATGGGAACCACGTTTCATCAACGGAGCCGGCCCACACTCCTTCACAGGCAAACACAAGCACACTGTATTTGGGAATCAGTCGCACACAAGGCGGCGGCTAGACCGTGATCCGCTCCACACTGAGTGCATGGAACCAATCTTCGAGCCTAACACGGCCACAAGGACCGTGCACATCGTCCCCTCCAGCAACGACCAACTACCTCCTGGAGCTAGTATGGAGGAAGTAGTGGGTACTAGACAGGTAGGCACCTTGTTAACATGTACATCAAGCGCAGCCACAATTGGGATGTCAAGCAACAGCCAATCACTTGAAAGGACAAGATGAAATAAACCAAAGCCAATAATGTTTACAGATATATATATTTGCAAAAGTCTGCTAACAGACATAATGCCATCAGAAACCATGGGCTTCAAACGAAGGTACAGAAACAGTAAAATAAAACACAACACAACAATGTCCATGGTTTCCTCAGAGGGCGAGATACTACCAGGTTGCCCAAGCCGAAGTAGGGTGTTGACTTAGAGGACACCACCCCGAGCCTTTGGATGAATAGCCTGCCCGCAATGCAGCGGAGCGAATTCAGGGAATCGCGCCCATTGGGAGCCGGAGACTGATTGCTCAGTTCATACGCCTTTCGTTTGTTCCTTTGTCAAACAGGGGCCCAATGCTCCCCAGAAGTACAGCATAAGGTTGCTGGAATACAATGCTTCGCCAGGAGGAAGCAAGGGGCAGTGACTTTATTTAGTGGCGAGTCACATCCGCCACGTCACAGTGTTGTTAAACGGACATATGTGGCTTTTTATAGGGAGAACGCTTGCCAGGCGAAAACCCACCACATCCTGGAACACTGCCGCGGAACCATTTGCTGGAACGGGAAAATCCCGAACCACCCAGCTGGCACCACGAGGAGGTTGTTCGGCAAGCCAGCCGATATGCCGACATAGATATGCGTTAAATGAGCATATGAACTAAATCGGTTGCCAACAACCCCACGATAATTTCAAGAAATCAGCAAATGTTTTGAAGCAAGCGCGTAAAAGTTATCACAGTTAACTAAAGTAGATTGAGGGACGTGTACAAATTAGTAAAATAAAGTTAAGCTAAGCAATAGCGAGACAACACAGCAAACCCGCAACCTGAAATAAAGTGATTCAGCATGCGAGCAAGCGCTCAGTAAATCGAATGCAGCGTACGTACCAACGCTGCGCCGGTTCTGCCTACGTTCTCTGCAGGACCGGTCGTCGCTTCGCTGGTGGCCCTGAGTCGTCTCGCTCATTGCTTACTAGGCCTGCCTGATTCAGGTAATCGCAACCGCATATGCTACGGCATCATGCGTTCGATGTCGATGGAGTACAACCCACCGGCGTTTGCCTCTTCCGCAATCGCCCCTTCTTCTTTACATGCATGAGAGCTTTCTCCTGCACATGGGCAACGGCCTTCGGTATCAGATCGCGCCATGCACACCGATCAAGCGACTTCGATTCCGACGACAAGCAATGAAGAGTATAACGTGAGAGGCTCAATTTTATCAAGTCCTGGTAAAGAAGCTTCGGCTTCCCCATATGCCGCTTCCCAATAATCAGCTGAGCATATAGTAGTTGTTCCGGTTTCCGCGTCAAGTTCGTGCGGCTCACATGACCGGGCCACAACAGGAGTCTCAGCAAAAATATATAGAGTGCACTTCATGCATTCCTCTACGGCGCAAAACTTCCCTGTCCGCAAATCTGTCGCACTAACCGATGGGCAAGATCCGTCGCAAAACAGTTAAAGGAACCGCTCGAGAATTCGCACATCCCGACTGTACATCGTCCACGTTTCACTGCCGTAGGGAAGAACGGACAGTACCATGGATTTGTACACCATAAGCTTAATGCGAACTGTAAGCTGATGATTGTTCTACACTCGGTATTCTAGCCTCCATAATGCCCATGCTGCCTGAAATAAGTGAATAGAAACCTCAGTGTGCAGCCGCTGCTCAGACAAAAGCACACACCGAGGTAGCAGAAGCAGGAGGTGGTTTCCAATAATTTAGCACCAATGCTGATTCGCGGCAATATTGAAGGTTGCACCTCCGGTGAAGGCTGAAAGTGACAGACAGTTTTGCTTGTGTTGATGGTGAGCCCGAATTTGGCCGTTGTGGAAGCCAGAGCACTAGTGATGTGCTGCAACTCATCCGCGCTGTGTGAAAACAACGCACAGTCGTCAGCAAGCAGCAACATACGGATAGTTGTCTCACAGACTAGAGTTCTCGCACCGAAACGACGGATGTTCAGCAACCCACCATCAATACGGTGTTCCACACGAGCACCGTAAACACAAGCCGCATCAAAAGCACAAGACCACATTGCATAAAGATAGATATTAAACAGGGCAGGAGCTAAGGCACAGCCTTGCTTCACACCAGAGACAACTGCAAAGTCATCCGAGGTCTCTCCACTCAGCTGCACCCTCGCTCGCATACCACTGTGCAGACATTCAATTAAACTTACAAACTTACGCGGGCAACCAAACTTACCAAACACCAGCCACAATGCCTCGCGGTTCACCAAATCAAATGCCTTGGTGAAATCAACAAAAAGCGAATACAATGGCTGGTGTCGTTCTCTGCCCTTCTCTTGCAACTGACGAGCCGCAAACACCATACCTATAGTGCTGCGACCCGAACGGGATCCGCACTGCTCTTCCGTCACGTTCGGTTCCACAACCTGACTAACGAGGAGTTTGAGCAGGATTCGGGCAATCACGTTGCCCACACAACTCAGCAAGTTGATGCCACGATAATTCATGCAACACTGCTTGCTACCTTTACCTTTGTACAGTGGTAGCACAACGGCATCCTTCAGCTCAGAAGGCACCTCTTTCTCAATCCATACGCGATGCAGCAGTAGTGCAGCGCAGTCAACAACGCAGGTCCACCGTGTTTCAATACTTCAAGTGGGATCCCCTCGTCCCCAGCACACTTGCCGTTTCGCAGCTGAGCAAGTGCTCTCTGCGTCTCATCCCGTGTCGGCGTATCCGCCAGATCCGCGTTCACATCGTGCTGCTTCAGGCCGTTCTATGTAGGCCAGTCGATCCCTGGACGGTTGTTCAAGGGACAGTCAGAGTGCTTTCGCCAGATCTGCATTATGTCTGCAGTCTGGGTGCAGGTAGCGCCTGAACTACCATCGATCAGTGTCCTCACCGGCTCCAGTCTCGGTCCATACACCGCCTTCAAGGAGTCAAAGAATTCCTTGTGTTGACGGCGTTCGGCGTAGCATTCCATCTGCTTCGCCTTCTCCGTCCACCATGCATTTTTAATGCGACGGAGCTCTCGGGTCAGTCGCCGTCGAAGTTTGCGAAACTGACTACTCTTCCCCAAGTTACTGGGGTCTGCAGCATGTGCAGCAGATGGTGCATTCTTCGCCGACACCAATGCGCCGATCATCGCATTGTTGTCATCAAACCAATCAGACCGCTTACAGTTTGCGCTCCCGACGGTCTCCTCGGCAGCAGCTCTCACCTGATCGCGAATGTGGTGCCACAGGTCGCCCACGGTGGCTATGCAGTCCACATCACACAGGCGTGCAGCCATCGCCTTCTCCAGCTCAGTACGTTTCGCCACAGTACCGAGGGAGAGAATGTTAGATTTACGCCGATTCACGGCGCGAGTGCAATACATCCATTTACGAAAATATACGTACAGTTTGGTCCGCACTAATTTGTAGTCAGTGCCACACTCAGCTTCACGCAGTACACATGTCATGCGCACTTCACGCATATCACGCTGACGTACGATGACATAATCGAGCAGGTGAGCGTGACCACTCCGTGGGTGCGTCCAAGTTGCTATGTCACTCGCACTCAGTGCAAACCGAGTGTTCGTGATAGTCATGCCATGAGTGTCATACAGTGAGAGCAGCCCGTCACCGTTTGCATTCGCTGAACCAATGCATGCGGATCGATAACATCTGTCCCCACCGACGCATCACGCCCAACTGGCGTATTGAAATCACCAAGCAGAAATAGTCGGTCGCTCCTCGGCACGGACCGTATCACGGAGGATACCTCAGTGTAGAGCTGATCACGCGTGTCATCAGGATAACTCATGGTCGGACCGTATGTTCTTCTAAAGGTGGCAAACTTACCTCTTCCGAGTCGTAGGCGTACAGTCATCAGTCGCGCGCTGATGCCCATTGGCTCACCACAAGCTGGCCATTCAGGCGATCG